TACACTGGCGATGGTGAGAATGAGGCTTTTGTCCACAGCAAACATTCCCAAAGCGGAAAAATTTGGAAATTCGTGCCAAGTTTCCATATAAAAGTGAAAAGCGTATTCTTGAATTTTATTGCAATACGATTTGGATTTCTGATCAATTGCGGAACAAAGCGCTTTGCCTTCTTCCCCAACACGAGAAGCGGCGAAACAAATTTTGACAAACTGGAAAAACAGAAAATTCGAAATCAAAAAAATTTTCACGTAATGAATCCAAGTGTTATAATTTTGGAACTTCAAAAACCGACCAAATCTGAGAATTATGTTGCCTCCGACCAAGACGGTCCATAAGAATAACTGCGTAGAATACGCGTTGCGAGTCTCTTTTACGCATTCGATTAGTTCACTGGCTTCCGCGATAATCCGAGGAATATTCTTCCCTTTGCCATTCGGTTTCACCGTTTCGTGACGTAAAGTTCGAAAGGCGTTGGCCAATTCCTGGCAAATCAGTTCAAAGAAGAGAAAATTCAAATTTTGTATCATTATAATTACAACCGAATACAAGAAGGATAGCAACAAATAAAGAATACACCAAGAATTCTCGCTTATTTCTTCGTAAATAAATTTTATATTTAAATCCGATGCGAAATCACTCCCGTAAAAGACAACGGCTAACGCATTACACGTATTAAACAGAAAAAAATGAAGCAGAATGGCCACAATTCGGACCGTCAGACAGTTCTTATCGATTCCGCTGCTGCAAGAAATTCTATACACGTTCCGAATGAGTGAACGAATTTTGACTCTATCGAGATGAAATCTGTAGCACGTAACTATGGAAATTAGTTGGGTCGAAACGAAAAATACTCTCAAGCAAATATCAATGAAATCCTCTCTATCGACAATACTCTTGATTACTCTAAAGATAGAAATGCACACCAATAACTTGGCCAAGATTAACAAGACGATGCCGTGAAAACGAAATCCCCTACCGTCTAATTTCAAATCGAAAATAGACATAACGAATAATAATAAATTCCATTTTTTCAATTGTTTAATTTCCATACTTTGTTTTGTATTTGAATCCATTTGCGTGTACGAATATTTATGAGTTTTGGTCGAAAACTGACACTAATGTCCGTGGAGAAATGAAGGATCGCGTATTTTATTGTAGTACACAAACCGAAATTTCTACTCGCTTTAGGAAAAATTTGAAAAAAGTGAATTTATTTTCTGAAAATTTTTTATTATTTTCTTTGTTTACTTCCAGTAATACACCAGCATTCGGGAACAGGAATAGACATAATAGTGTTTGTATTACTTTGCCAGTACGGTGTTATAAAAAGCCAGAACAATAACAGACGTGTTTATATTTCGAAATAACCCGTTAAACCAATTTTTTTATTATCAACGTCAAACACGCTGAAGTACAACCTGTGGCCAAGCTGTGTTCGTCCCCTAAACACTGGGAGTTCGGTCCTGGGTTCGCGCATCGCTCGGATGGGCTATCCACGTGGTTTCCGGATTTTCTCTACGTTTGTAATGCCTAAAATAGGGCCAGTTTCCCTTAAAAAGACTTTCCGGAAGGCATCCCCAAGGGTTGCGTTGCCGTTGCCATAATTAAACAAACAAATATGCTGAACGTATATGAAAGACAGATTAAAATTTGAAAATATAATGCGTTTGTTTATCCGAAAATAACAAATAAAAATGTAAAATACGAACAGAAGATTGATTGTTTCTATTATCATTCAGAATATACAGCACTTTACAGAATCCATGTAAAATCGTCTCACTCAACGAAAACAAGTATAAATGAGTTTATGCAAAAGATACTCGTTAAAATCTTTTTCAACGTACAGATGATGCCGAATATAGTGTCATTAAAATTTTTGCAGCTTTTCATAATTACTTTTAGATTGATCTTATATAAAAAGCAATATTCATCTTCTATTCACCGTATATATTTTATAATTTTTCATTTCGGAACAATTTAACCTATTATCGATTTAATTTTTGTCTTAAAAAGTTTTCCACCCTCAAATTTTAAGAACTTATACAAATTATTTTTATACATTAAGTGTAAACACATCGCATCGTCACTTTCTCATTTATTAATATTTGCGATAGAAATGTAAACAGTGTTACTATTGTTCAGTTAATTGCTTTCTGTTGTTGATTTTCCCCAGGTATAACAGGTAAAACATAATTACTTCTTTGAATGGCATTTACATTTCATCAATTTTACAAAAAATTTATGAAGTTTTCACTTTGGTCGTAAGTCGCGAGAGTTCGTAACTTTACTTCGCGAGAGAATTTCGAAGCTCGATTCCGAAAAGTAATAATAATAAGAACATTCATTATACTTTTATATATCCGGACAATATAATTGAATTCTCAAATGAAACTACACGCGGAGGTTCGACACATCAAAACGTGGAATCCATTATTAATCACAATGTCTCTGGTCGGTTTAAAAATAGAAGGTAAAGGTTTCCATTTTCGAGCCATAGCGATTTTAGTCCTGGAGATAACGTTGGTGTCAGTTTCCACTTTCAGAGTAATCAAGAACGTCACGGATAAAGAGATTTCATTAAGATTTGTCCGAAGGGATTTTTTACTTTTACTCAAATAATCTCCACGATCACGTGCTATCGATTTCATCTGGACCGAGCGAAAATTCGTTAGCTGATTCGCAACGTTCACAGAATTTCCGGCGGCAGCGGAGTGGATAAGAAACGTCTGACGGTCCGAGTGGTAGCCATTTTGCTTAATTTTCTTCTAATTAATATAAGTAATATGTCCGCCGTGGTAATTTTTGGAAGCGACTTCGCGTCGGAGATGAATATTAAATTCATTTATAAAGAAATAAGCGAAAATTCGTGGTGCATTCTTTATTCGTTTCTCACCTTTTTGTATTCGGTGGTAATTATAACCACACAAAATTTGAATTTTCTCTTCTTCGAAACCATTTGCCAGGAATTGGCACACGCCTTTCGAATGCTCCGTCGGGAGACGACGGAACGAAAGGAAAACGCTAAGAGCATCTCTCGGATTATTACGGAAACCCAGGAGCTAATTGAATACTTGAACGAGATTCGTAACGCCTATTCTCTGCAGTTATTCTTGTAGACCGTTTCGGTGGGAGGAAACATAATGGTCAACTTCGGACTGGTTTTGAATTTTCGTTACTACGATACCTGGATACACTACACGAAAGTGTTCCTTATTTCCTGTTATCCGTTTATTCAGTTCGCCCAGATATGTTTTGCCACTTCGTTTATTTCCGAAGAAGGAAAGAATCTTTGTTCCGCTATATATCAACGATCCCTGTTGTACGCCGACAAAATACAAGAATACTCTTTTCGCTTCTACGTGAAAACTTGGCACGAATTTCCCAATTTTTCTGCTTGGGGAATGTTTGCCGTGGATAAAAGTAATTTTGACCATCGCCATTGCATTGCTGACATACACTGTTATCGTCTATCAATTTAGATAAATAAATATTCCCGACGAACTGTACTCTCGATTAGAAATTGAGATAAACATTCCCGTTTTACTTCTAAATGGCTTCGTGGGTTTTAACTTATGTTGAAAATGTAATTCAATTTAATGGTTTATGCTGGAAAATTTATCATCGAAAGTGTAAAGATTTCCATAAATCTTTAAGGTTGATTCAAAATATAAATTATTTCTCTCGTATCAGTTTATTGACCCGATATTAAAAGAGCAAGAACCCGCGGCAATCAATTATTTTATTCATTCATAATACAACGAATAGGCTCATTTACAATTTAGCATTGTTGACAAATTCCTATACCCACGAATTTGTCAATAATGTCAATGGATTATCTGTTCACCGACTGGGAGCGGGAAATTAATGGAAATGACTGCGGGGTGCTTCGAAGCTTTGGGATTTGCTACAACGGTAGAAGGCATTTTATTTTCAGTCGTTTAATCATTTAGTTATTTAGACTTTACTCATTAGACGTTAGAAAAATGCCAACGCGCTTCATTTCCGAGTGCAATTTCGGATATCCTAGTGAAAAAGACAATAAATGGCACTTTCTAAGGGTGCCCGTAAATCGTTTGGAACGCTAGAGAAGATTCACTTTACGCGAAGATAAGAAATTAACCACAAGAAGCACAATTCTTAATAAAATCATTCGTTCACGCAATCGACGGCCAATTAGTGCTACTCGCGAGCGATAGATTGGCACCGACTCCGAATGATTTTCCATCTAAATTCCGTAATCGTTCTTTTTCTCAACGCATTAAAGTGCCCCGATTCCCATCGGAGAGGAAAGCTGAGGTTGTCTCCGAGCAGAAACGAGTCGATCTCTCGGATAAGGAGTATAGAACACGTCTTATACAGTAATGAATACGCACGTTATGTTATTTATATTTGAATTTCGAATTTTTTGTTTTTAAGGTACTAGATCAACTTTTCCTAAATATGTGGAAAGCAGTGATTCACTACCCAGTACTTGTAATGACAGTGACACAAGTATGACAACGTATACAAACTGACATTAACGTATACATTTTCTCACCGTAAAATAAACAAGCAGTTTATTAGTAAAACAAAATAAAATGGTTATGAAAAGCTTTCGAGTTTGGCATAGATGTAATAAGAAAAAGTCACGGCATCGGCTATTATCAATTTTAATGAATTTGTCGTTACTACACAACTGGTATCTTGCATTATATTTAAAAGTATTGATTAAATGCAATAACTTTTAATGAACGTGTTTGAGAAAGGTGACGAGGAAGTTGGTTTATATTTCTATAATTTCGGATTCGTATAAAAATGTAATGGGGAAATTTAGTCGTCTATTTATAGCTTTACACCTAAACCGAGCGATATTTACATGTTACGCCACTAAATTTTATCGCAAATTATAATAAATTCAGTATATATTACGCAGAAATCGGATACAACGCAAGCCGATTCGATTGGCTCGTAAGCCGATCGAAGGCCGCCGACCACCCATCCGGTGCGTATTAAACCCGTTTAGAAAATACGTCCTTCTCAAACATTAATGAAAAGTTAAAAATACTGCGAAATACACAACCTCAAAGCACGTTTTAATACAGTAAAATAGATTTAAGGAAATTGTCATCGATTGTTTTTCCTAATAATACTGAACATGACGGTATCTTCTACGCCGACAGAACGTTTTCGTCGAAAATGCTTTATCCATAAATCTCTGGCACTTTTGTTGCAGACGATCTAAGAAATTATAATATTTCAATTTTAGAATATTTCTAGTTGTCGACGATTAAAGAGAACTTACTTGAAGCAGAAAGATGACGAATCCCTGAAGAGTGACGAAAATGGTGAACAGATATTTAAACACTAATTTCGCGCTGTTTATGGCGAAGAAACCCAACGTCCACGACAGTCCTACGTGATAATTATCATTTATTTCTACCGTAATTATGTTTAGCGTAACGACGAACGAGAATGCGTTTACCTAAAAGGGTTAAAATGCAAACTGCCGCCCTTAACCGTACCAGAACCAGTTTCTTGTCGTCTGTCTTCAGCTTCGGCTTTTTCGCCCAGGCGACGGAATAAAAGACCAAACAAAATACCACCAAGTTGACCAGCATAACTATTCCCACCGGCAAGAGGAATCCGTAATAGAATGCTCCTATTTGAAGCCAACAACTAGGAAAAACAAAATTTAATTAATTTCAATTCGAGTCTCTCCTAATAAATTATCACTTACTAATTTTTTCCTCCGTGGTACAATTTATAATCGACGAACATTATTACGGCCACGACGACTAAAGGAGTTCCTAGGAGAAAACGTATATCTGTAAGAGGGGCCAATACGCATTTTAATTAAAAAAATAATTAGTTGAAGACTCACACCAGGCAAAAACGGATGCTTTGAGCATAAATTTGGGGATGTAAGTATCCAGCACCTTGACTAGTTTCAGATATTGCTGCAAGGCCTCTATCAACATCCAACAGAACGAGGCCATCAATGAATAATGCAAGAGAGCGGCCGCAAATATACACCCCTTCTCGGACGAGATTTGATCGATTCCCGAAACGAAGACGATCAGACTTAACAATATGGCCGATGCCAAATTACACAGAACCTTGCTCACCACTCCTTTTCTCAATTTTCTAAACATATTTTCGGAATTAGATTATAGTTTTTCGAACTAACAACTGTAAATGATCACTGTAAATCGGTAAAATGTAATTTTATTGTTTTAATAACATTTTATCCGCTTGTCTTATAGCTGTTATCCGCGCACGCCCAGTTTTTTCCCCGGTGATGAGAATTTTTAACTAATTTTCTTCCGTAAAAGTTACGTATCGCCATACTTTCCCCTGTTATGTATAAAGTCGTCCCCATTGTAACCTGGCCGAGTTGGCTGTCAGGGGACTTTTCGTGTTTATTATTATTATTATTTATTTATTTATTTATTTATTTTTAATTTATTTATTTATTTTTATTTTTTTT